ATCCCACATCAGCAAGGTCCGCTTGTCGGCATCTCCATTTGGTGGTTTGAACCAAATCTTTGAGCTGACGTTGCCATTAACTGCAACCGAGAATACTCCAACCGGCACGTCGCTCCGCCGATTATTAGGAGGCATGGGAAATTTGGCCAGGATGCCGGGGTTACACCCCTACTCTTTTTGAGAAACACCCTGGGATTTTTAATTACCACAGAGAGCCAGGACCTCGGTTTTACGTCTCATCCAAAGGACGGCACTTATTTACAGTATAGTGTCCCTGTCACTATACTGGGGCATTAGGACCCACACAGACTGCAGGGTGAGCGCCCCCTGATGGCCCCACTAACACCTCTTCCAGCAGCAACCTTGGGAGGTCCAGGTACTGACCAGGCTCACACCTGCTTAGCTTCAGTTGGTTGCCAGTTGTGAGTTGCAGGGTGATATGGCTGCTGGCTGTTTGCCCATCCTACTATTTTACATAATCTGCAAATTTGACTATTTTACTTACAGTAGGAAGCTAGAATCTTATTATATATTATTATATCTTAATTACTGTAGGTAGTAGTCCTAATACAGACCCATGTGATACTCCACAGATTACGTCCCTATTAGGGCACTATGCAAAGGTCTATTTGATGACATGAGAGGAGTAATTAAAAAGCTGAATTTGTTTTTTTGTGTGTGTTGGTATCATTTTTCTAATACATTTCATGCTTTAAAAGTGCTTTATTTTCCCCATAACTGTATTTTGTTATGGTGGTCCCACATAGTAATCCACCATTATCTATGTTTAGTGATTGATTTTTATTCTGGAGGAATAACAGCATGCAAGAGTACAGTCACTGGGGAGCCTACCACACGTTTTGAATAAGAATAATCTGGTAAAACATAAGATGGATGTTATAATCATATCCCAATTCACTTACCTTAATGTGCAGCTGCTGTGAGATAGCAAAGCATATCATGGCTGGTGTTGTAAAGTTGTTTATGTTGAATGATATTCTAGTAAACTTTAATAGAAGCACAGTGGAAAATGGGAATAGGAGGAATATATGTTTTGAAACACTTTGATCAGAGTGCATATTTTTAACATTCTAGTTTTGCACTTACTGTGAAACAAGTTGGTTTTATTGGACAAATTCATGAACAGGGGATAATTTATCCTTGGTTGCACCTGATCCTTGATCCTTGTTTTGTAAATTGACCAAGAATTATCCACAGGGATTTGACGGCAAGACAGCAAGAGAAAAGCTAGCACTACATAGACAAATGCAAAATTACTGAAGAATTGATTTCTGAAATGTTATTGTCTGGTACTGTATGTGCATGTTTTGTGAAACTATGGTGGTACCTCAATGAACTACTGTAGTTCAGGATTAGTATGAATCAGTTGTATGCATCCATCCATTTCCTAACCGCTTCATCCAATGCACTAGGGGGTTGGAGGGGAGGTGGAGCCTATTTCGGCAAGCAACTGGTGCCAAGCAGGATACATGCAGGACGGAATGGCAGTCTCAAACACAAACATGCACACACTCACATCTGGACAAATCTTTCCGGAAGCTGATTGACCTATCAGTATGTCTGTGAACTGTGAAACCGGAGCACCTGGAAGAAACTCATGCGAACATGGGGAGAACATACAAACTCAACTCACATAGAATTGAACCCAGGGCCCCATTGCTGCGAGTCAGAAATTCTAACCACAGTCTCATCAGGTCACACTTTGACTGTATGACACATTAAAGCATTTGGGGATCGGGTGCATTTATGATACAACTTGGTTTTCATCTAGTTTTCAGATATTATAGCATTTTGGGTGACGTGTGATCTAGTTTTTTTAATAACTGACATATACAGTATTCAGGAGACTGCAGGACTACACGTCTGCTTGTAGCCCTTGAAAACCATCATTCAAAAAGTTTAATGCATTGTTACCTCTCTTCCAGCATTTGTGTATCGGATTAAATTTTGTTTTGGGTGTATTGTGGAGCACAGCTGTTTGTACTCCATTGCCTCAACAAACTCTTCCTCAGACAACCCAAGCATTATTATGATTAACAGAATGATGCCTTGGCACACATGTACCTCATCGAAGCACCACCTAAAAACTATTCCAATAAACAAATACTCAAGTAAAATAAATAGACCTCCACACTGAAGTGGTTTGTTTGAACTTTGATTGCAACACAGCACTACTTAAAAATAATCAGACATTAATAATGCAGTCTCATCCTCTTTTGAGATGTTGTGAAGTGGCTTCATGGGCCATTATGCATGCACGGTTTGATTTTAGTCATGGCCCAGCACCAAGTCCAGAGATTGAAACCTGTGCTGATTTAGCTACATTAATTCAATGACGCAGCTCCATGAATCTTGTCATCTACAGTTTTATTAAAGAAATGTGAATCATTGCAGTAGGCTTGTTATAAATTGGCAGCCTGCTGGGATGATGCCAGGGTTTCAAAAGAGATGAAGCAATGTATTTCACAAAGTGATAGTCCACCGAACACAGCTGAAGCCATTTGAATGCTGAGCATCTGTAAATTATTTTGAAGAGACCATGAACAAATAAAAAACAACAATAAGGTCTTCTTGTCAGTACTCTGGTCAATACCAAGACGTTTAGTCTCAATTTCTGAAGAATAACCTCAAAGGAAGTGTTATCATGTTTGAGTAGCAGAGAGAACAATGTGATATTTGCATTAATTAGGCTACAGAAAAGCTGCTATTGTTACACTCTTATTCGTTGTTGTTTTTTAAGGAGGATGTTTCATTTAATCACAGGCAGATTGTATGTAATGTAGCAATCTCTAATGAGTAGGATATCACAGAAGGGATGGAAATCTAGATAAATGCCCTTCTGTTTAGCCTGGGGATTCTTGCTCATATTTTGCCAGTGAGCTCTTTCTCACTAGCCTCAGGCCATCAAGCATCTGTGATTTTCTGTCCACCTATATGTTTCAATTAAAAATGGACAAAGAATCTGACCCATTTCTGTTTTAAACACAAAGAATGAGACAGGCCAAAAAAAAGTGAATTATAGGTAAAGATTGTAAGCCAGGTAACCATTCTAATGAGGATGGGTCTGTTGCTTAAGCTTAAGAAAACTAAAGTTATGGATGTTGCAAATGCTATGCAAGACAAAATGAAATCGTAAAACTAAGTAAACAATGTAGATACAGAGCATTAATTTACTGTCAACACCACATTGTTATATATTCTGTGATTACTGTATGCTACAATGAATATGTACAGTTAGCAAAATAGAAACCTACATTACCTATGTGAGACATAAAAACATTAGTGTGATGTACAGTAGTGTAGGAGTTATTGGATAAAGGAAAAGTGAGAAATCACAGGTGCTGTCTAAGGTGATAAATCAGGGATTGAGCAATTCTGATTTCTGTGAGCAATTAATTCCTCTGTTGAGGAAAGAGGATGAAAGTGGGAAAGTGAATACAAGGTATAAAAAAATCTAACAGAAGAGAAGGAGTGGAGAGAGAAGGAGGAGATAATGTGTATGGAAAGATAAGGGACTGAAGTCACAAGAGGTGCAGAGTGGCTGAAAGAGATCTTTGAATTGGGTGCAGGAATTCAGCTGGCAGCAGTAAGGAGCTAGTGGGTTGGCTGGTGTAATAACACTTGAATTCATAGGTCATGAAAAGGTCTCTGAATTTGAATTTAGTGTTTGTCAAGAGGCCAGTCAAGTGGGAATTACAGTAGTTTAGATGGGAGACTGCCAGGACCTCAACTAGATGATGTGTAAAATAGTAAGAACGGGGAGGATTCCACAATTTTTGAGATTTGAGCAATGTGGAGGTCATACAGTTGTGTTTATGGAGAGAGCAAAGTAAAGGGACCAGTAATTGAATACAAGCTTTTTGTAGATATGTCAGGCAAGTCTTCCTATCCTTATCACAAAACTAAATTTGGAAATGTAAGAGCGCTTGCCTTTGTTTGAAAGTTATTGACAAAAAAAACAAAGCAGATAAGCAATCTTCAGTCAACATTAAAAGATCAAAAACAAGTTTCATGGGGGAAGACTTGTGAATTATATATAGAGTAATCTGAATAACATTCCATGACACTTGATAATCTAATTATTTCCAAATGTACAGTATGTATTCAGTGTAGCATTCCAACGCTGTGGGGAAAGAAATGGTCTGTGATGTATATAATAATACCCATCAATAAATGTTCCCCTCCTGTTTCATGAAAATTCTGAAAGAAACTAATTAATGTTCTAGCAGATTTAACTCTCGCATAGCCAATACAAGTATCTGCTTTCTGTCTGATAAGTGCAAATTTCACAATGCCAATGCAGATTCCCAGATGAAGAACAGGAAATAGTATAGGAAAGTAGTAAATCTAGTCTGCCTAGTCACCTCCAGGGTTGGAAGGAGCCTGTGCTGATTCTCTCTATAGGCCATTCTTAATTTAAACCCCAGAGAACTAATCAGGAAGATTTTCCAGTTGGTCATGTAGTTCAAAGGGTTGCAATGCACTTCATTTTTAATTGTTATTGCCTTTAATGGCTTTAGAGAGACATTCTACTGAAAAATGTCTAGATGGAAGACAGTGCTGTGACAAGCAGTTCTGAAGAGCAGGTGTAAATAGTACTCAGCACTGTCCCCCACTGTCCTTGAAATACAAAGAGATCCATTGGAGACATTTCCATAGAAGGTTAAGTCTAAGTGTTTTACAACAATAGGGTGTGTTTCCTTGGTGAACATTAGGTTCTTCTGTGCATAATTGGAGTTATGTCTATGAAAGCGTTTACATCAAACTTGTACTGTAATTTGCAAGTCTTTTATACTGTAAAATAAAGATTAGTCATCTTAGATACCCTTGTGAGTTTTTAAATTAACCATTCAAGGTAATCACCATATGGCTTTACATACAATCAACCTGACCTCCTTCAAAGGATGCTGTCTGATGCTCATTCCTTGATAGACAGCATTTTCCAAGGGAGATCCACTCATGGTGTCTCTGTGTTGCAGCTGGCCACATGGGACTCCAGCCGGGGGCTCAACGGCAGCCTGAAGGAGAGCCGCATTGAGAACGGCATGCAGGGCGTAACTGTCAAAGTGGTGACGCTGCTGGTAGGAGAAATGCACTATAAATATATATACAATTAATATACGATAAACACATATTATTGCCCCAAGTTGAATTGGCACTGGACACATGCAAACAACAGTCCAAAAGTGAAGTATTACATCTGTAGGCTAACCAAGCAGATCAATTGATTTTTTACTGTTTTTAATGTAAATAAATGACATCATAGTAAGAAATCTTGGGATTATCATTATGAAATAAGCACTATCTGTTGTGACCATACTCTATGATAGCTAACATTTTTAACAGAATATTGAATTGTTCTTTGTTCTGCTGAAAACCTACTAAGGTCTGCACATACTGTATCACAACCAGATAATTTTTTGAGGTTTGTAACACAAATTATATCTTCATTAAATCTTACTTTATACAGGTTAAAGGGTAATTGCACTTGACCAAAACTATTGCCTATGATGTACTGTATATGACACAAAATTCAGATTTTCATGTAAGAAAAGTGTAACTTATTTTATGTAATAATATTACATAAATGTTAAAGGAGATCATTTTAAAATGAGAGAGGTCAAAAGGACAAAACAATCATCAGCAAGAAACATTTCTTAAAATAGTATACAGGTAATAGTTTTGTATTTCATGTATGCATTACTAGTTGGAAAAATGGTTGTTAAGTACTGTGTATACAAAATATTTCCTGTGCTTGTTAAATGAGGGATTGGTTCCCACTATCATTAAAAACCTCTTCAGAAAAGGTCTCATCAAATGATATTTTTATTGCTTACTATAACCAAAAGTCTGTCAATGTCCTCCTTGCAACATTAGGTGGGTTATGTTCCATCTGCGCTGTAGCTACAGGATCAATGTGGCCAGGCTGCTGCTTCTGACTTGTGCGGTAGTGTGTGATATTAATGGTGGAGCTCAGAACACTACTTTTCATTGGGGACAGTAGAGTGGTCCTTCCTCCCTAAAGATTAACTTGTGACTGGATTATAAGTATCTGGCTTTTCATTTATTCTCCCTGGCTTGACTTGCTTCAGGCACTGCTATTTCATCATGTCATTAGACACCGTAGTGGGATTTTTTATATATTTTTTTTATTTCTTCCAGCCATGACAGTTCTCCCATAAAAAAACTGTGATAATTTGCCCCAGTAAATTCAAAGCAATAATTCCAAAGAGATGACTTATCATCCCTGCCATCACACTGTGGGGTATGGGTCACTGCGCACACAAGAGGCACTTTATTAAAATTAAATTTGACTCTCAGGTTTTGCCACTGAACTTATACAAAGTTGTCAAAGATTGCACAGCATGCAGACATCAGCCTGTCCTCTTTGCATTATAATATACGTCATTAATGAGAATCCTAATGATCATGAATTTTAATGACTATTTTTGTCAATTATAAAATCTAATGAAAAGAAAAACAGTATAGTAAATAGATTTGCAGTTTATTTCTTAACCCTTGATTTTCTTTGCTGTTTTTCACTGCTGGTGACTGTTCATACCATACCACTCTTGTCCTGTAGGAAGAGCCTTTTGTCATGGTTGCCGAGAACATTCTGGGACAACCCAAACGCTACAAAGGCTTTTCCATTGATGTACTGGATGCACTGGCAAAGAACTTGGGTTTCAAATACGAGATCTACCAAGTGTCAGACAGCAAATATGGCACTCAACTGCCCAATGGCTCTTGGAATGGCATGATCGGAGAGCTGATTAACAAGGCAAGAATAATATTCACTAGAGCACACAGACTGCTGACTTTTGTAAAAGTATTCTCAGCTTTTAAAAAATGGTTTAACCGGGTTTGTGATCTGAAAGCTCTGAATGTGAGTTTTGAGCTTGTTCAACATAAATGTGTACCACTGTCCTTAACAAAACCTTTTAAATGTCCTTCTTAATTTAAGTGTGGAAAAAATAAAATGACTCTCAAGTGTATCACATTTCCCTCTTGGAAATTCTTAACAAGTCTCTTTGAACATTTTAAGACTATTTAAAGGCAGAGTGCAAGGAAATAGTAATTTGAGCACATTCCTCAAGTGTTAGATTTTTGTATTTTCTTCACAATTATGTTATATTGAATTGTTCTCGTTTTTTCTGTTTTTAAAAAAGTTTAAATTAATTAAAGCTAGCTAATAAAAAAGAAATCCTGGAAGCCTTTATATGGAGATGAATTAAAAATACCAACTATATCTCTTGCAGATTTTAAGACCTGTCAGTTTTTTCTTGAGAAGCTTTTTTACCATTTTAATTCATATGGAGAGAAGTTGTTGAGAATCAAAATTTCCTAACACAGTATAGCCATGAGGCATAAGTGAATTTGATGACATTTCCAAATCTTATTGCACTCTTTGTTCACTTCACAGAGGGCAGATCTGGCCGTCTCTGCAATCACCATCACGCCGGAGCGGGAGAGCGTGGTGGATTTCACCAAGCGCTACATGGACTACTCCGTGGGCATCCTGCTCCGGAAACCTGAGGAGAAGATCAATATCTTTTCATTGTTTGCCCCCTTTGACCTTGCTGTGTGGGCTTGTATTGCTGCGGCCATCCCAGTTGTTGGGGTCCTGATCTTCGTGCTGAACCGTATCCAGTCAGTGAGGACACAGAATCCCACAACCCACCAGCAGCAGCCCCCCTCTTCCTCGGTCTCCACCTCTCTGCACAGTGCCATATGGGTGGTCTACGGGGCCTTTGTACAACAAGGTAAGCTCAGCAGGCGATCCAGGGTTGACTCCACTATATAGTAACCTTTTTGAGTTCTTATATTCTTCTAGATCAGGAAAACAGGCCACTACTGTCCTCAAGTGCCAAGTTCCTGCATGTTTTAGAGGTAAATGAAATTAACATGCAATAAAGTTGACTTATTTTGCTTTAGCCCACCTGTTTCCAGTGGAGCACGTGATGGAGAAAACACATCTGCTTTTGGGATTAAAATGTGAGATTTTTAAATCTATTACATATGAAACAGACAAAAAGAAAGAAAACAAAATTGAACCCAACAGATTGCACCAGAAACCAAAGCTTGATTTTCTAACGTTTGATAAATAGTGTAGACATCTCATGCTGGGGGAGACTTTTGGAGCACTGATACCCTGGGAAATGCAAATACAAAATAAAGTAGAGTTTATGAGGTGATCTGGTGACAAAAATGTCATTAGTACTTCTAGAAGTAAAGACTGCTGAAGAGAGCAGCCATGTCATGGTTTCATCAGTATTTCAGGGTAGCTAGAAACATAGCATGTCTATACAGGTTGGGAGAGTCTAAGTGCACCATGTCACAGCGAGGCCCTGTTCTTTATTATAGAATTGTAGCTCTTTCTTTTTCTTCTCAATTAACCTAGAGCCCTGTTGTGCTTTTAACATAGAGAGATGGCTTCTTTGTTATCCAGATCCTGAGAACTAAGGTCAGAAGCACTAAAAACATCACAGTATGCATAGTATTATTAATATTATTTTTAAAAATAACTATAAAGTAGCAGCTGGGAGAAATAAAACATGACTTGCAACAGTGCATCTGAAGTTGATTAACCTCATGGATCAGTAACGCACAGCAAAGGTGCCTTTGAATAAAGGAGGTCGAGAGATCTTCTGGTACTAATCCAACAACGGTAAAAAGAAATAAATGATTAGCTCAGCAACTAATGTTGAACCTCTAGATGCATTTATTAAAGGTTGGCCTGTTGCCGGCAAACCCTTTCAAGGCTAACAACTAGTGATTATTATCTGAAGTAACTTTATTCTATTTGTTCTGTGCAATATTAACATCAAGTGTTCCAATGACGCATTGTTTGATGTTTATACTATATGAAGAGTGAACTAATGAGTTTCTAACACAATTTTGTCAGTCTTTTCTTTTTTGAGAAAGAAAGTACAAGACCATTTAAAACATCTTTGATTTTGATACATCACATGCTGTAAATGAATTTCAAAGTGCACAATTATAATGTGATGCTAAAGGCTGGAGATATACTGTAGTAGACTGGTATACTATACTGTATATATAAAACAGATGTATTAGGTGATTTACTTTGTTCTTTTAAATAATACTAGGAACCTTTTTCAATTTTTTGTATAGTGCTCAAAATACACAAAGCACTATGACATATACACTAGCTTTACAACATAATACTAAGATATAAGTATTAGTAATATTATGAATATGAAGTTCAGTTTTGGTCATTATCTGCAAAAAATATATTACAGCTTTAAAAAACTTGAAAGACAAGCAACAAGAATGATTTCTGGCCTCAGGGGAATTATTATATTCAAACAGGTTAAAGGAGATAAATCTCTTCAGTCAAGAACAAAGGATACTGAGAGGTGATTTGATCCAAATACACCAAATCCTAAGAGGTACAGATAGGGTCAATGCAGAGGTGCGCAGTATTTCACACACATTAATTAAGCAAGGATGTTAAACTAGAACAAGTAATAGACTAGATTTGCTGTATACTATATGCTTTTCACATCTTCCAAATTCTCTCTAACAATGCTTTTCCTAACAATTATTCCTATTCCAGATTCCAGTCTAGCTTCATATTCATATTCGTATGAGACCAAGGAGTAGGGGGTTCATGAAACTTTTGCTGTGATAACTGAAGACGTCAAGGAAGAAAACCTAAACTCTCAAAAACTGAAATCAAGTTCTCCAGCAATAGCACTCTACATCATAGGTTATAATCTAGCTGAGATCTTGCAAATAACCTTGCTGCACATACTGAAGTTAATGTTCCTTCCAAAACACTAAGATACACATCAGCGCAAAATAATCTCAAATGGTGTGCAGTTGTTCAGAAAACGTGTTGAGTTTCCTGACCACCAACGACATTCCAGTATAATACTGACAACTGCAGTTTTAAAGAATAGGTAATTCATTAAATGTAATTTGATTTACAGTATACAGTATATCCACTTTTTTCACCTCTTTAATTAGGACTACGTAGATGTTTTTCTAATGCTGTAGATGTAGGCATAGATAAAGTTATTAAAATTAAGCAAAATTAGTGAACTCTATCTCTTGACGTATTCCATTATTAATGGAAAAGGTGAAGACAGGAAATACAGAAATATACACAAACAGGAAAAGCAAGGTGACTAAAGCTGAGGTTTTCTTTGCAGGAGGGGATTCAATAGTGAGCTCGATGGCCCTGCGGATTGTAATGGGAAGCTGGTGGCTCTTCACACTGATTGTGTGCTCATCCTATACTGCCAACCTGGCAGCCTACCTCACTGTCTCTCAAATGGACAACACTGTGCGGTAGGTTTTAAACAGCAATGGGTCATTCTCATGGTGTCCAGTTTCAATTTTTCACAAATGCACTCTAAGAACACACTACATTCATGAAAATGAATTGTAAATGATTTAGTGTCTTTTAGTTTAACCAAATTCGCAGTATACATGCCTGGTTTATGTTTTCTGTTTTCAGTCCTCACTTCCAGTTGAGTAAAGTGTTGTCTGGTGAGGCGTTCATCTCAGTTAACACTCCCCTGCAGTTTATACTGCAGTTTATATTAACTGTAATTCCCTCCAACAAAAGCTTTTAGCACCTTTTATGTCCTTTCATTGGGAGTGTTAATGGCCCTCGACTTCGCTGCTTGCCATTAATTGACAAAGCAGGTGTTAAGCTGCTGGTAAATGCCTTTTTAGATATAGATTATTGTTTAATTAACAGCGTGTTAGTACATAATTTAACCATCAGTGAATTTGTGTCAAACAACATCTCTTTTTGCCCTCCATGTCAGTAGGTGTCACTAGAAAGAATTTCAAACTTAGTGAAATTTCAGCAATGTTACAAAATATTACAAAATAGATTTTATTTTTAGGTTCCCAACCAATTGCACAGGTCAATATAATTTCTTATCCTGGTGGAAAGGAAGGAACCTCCCTCCATTTTCATAGTAAAGACACATTAATGATAACAACATTTGCTGCATTTGTCCTAGACAAAACACCACTTTTATTAATTTTACTAATTCTTTGTACTCATCACAAAACTTTTTTAGAAATGAAATGTTTTGATGATGTTTTAATGAATTTTCTGGAATACTCTCAGCCATAAACACACATATCTGTAACATAAAATTAATTTTGCCTCTTTTATGCAGAACAACAATTACAGAATGAAATATCACAGCATTCTGAATTACCATTCTTGTACAGTATATTAAAATGACAAGAGCAAGTGCTTAGTACCTGTAGTACTGGGAGACACCATTGGCTACATACTGTACACTAACTAATTAATTAGTTCCTCCTCCTGTTTAATAACAATAGTGAGTAATGTATTGGCTAATATGCAGTCTATCTGGCTCCAGTGATAATAACATTAGGAATTTCAAATATTTATATATGTACAGTATAGTTATTTACAGTACTGTATGTGTATATATTACATACTGTACACAACAGTATACACAGAGAGAGATACTGTAACAAATGCCTGGGAAATTGTAGGAAAGTAAAACCCAAGGTTTTTGTTTTTTGTATTATTGTTTTATTTTAAGATAAAATTATAGAGGGGTTTTAAAATGCAGCAGTTGGTTTTGGCTGCAGCACTCACTTGTTGCAATTTTAATGCCTCTCGTGTATATATATATATTTTTGTTCTTTAACATTGTGAAAAAATACTATCAGGGGGATAGACAATAAAATGTAGCCTAGCAACAAGCACTCCAGTCGTAATTCCTCATTAGTGTAACAAACAGGAAACCAACTACTGTGTATGGATTCAAATAAGAATAGCCATACCATTATCTGCACCAGAGAGTAAATGTACCTGGGTAGCTGTGTCGTTTTTCAACATATCCCTGTAAAAAGGTATTATTACAAGAGCTCTTTGCTTTAACATTATCGGTCCTGCTCTGTTATGTCTTTAATGGGCTATGCTGCAGCATTGCTTGAGATTGACTGTCTTTGTGCTTCTTTAATATGCACTGGGTACAAGGATACTCTATGTCCTTTCTTAATGTGTCTGTATCCTGTGTGTTATAAAGCTGGCAGTATGCTACAGCTAGTCAATGAAGGACTTGGAGAAGCTTCGAGCTCTTGCTACCCCTCAGATTTCCGTACAAATGATTAATCCAGAATGTTAAAAACAAGTACGTCGATGTTAAAAACTAGATCTCAGTGGCAGAGAGTGGACCACCAAACAGGGACATTATATTAACATTTTCTAGCCAAGCAAGATTCTGTAACAAAATATATGACAGTAATTCTGTTTTAGTGGTCTCAACAAATCTAAAAAATGACACTGGCATCTGCGTTGGTGTTCAAGTTTTCTATTACAAAAGTGACTAAAGCCATTATTGTCACCTGACAGATGTATTCAGGGCCCTAACTGGAAAAATATTGATTTCTGTTGGCCAAACTGATGATGCATTTAATTAGAGTGAAGTGCCACAAACCGACTTCTGAGTAAACACATTAAATAAACTACATAAAGTATTGCAGCTGTAGAACTAATGTTGGTGGAAGAATTTATTTTATCAGGTTTGTCAATTGAGCACAAATTCACATTGTCAATGATGACATGGTGACCCATTATACAGCAGAGCAGTTACTGGGTAATTTGTGTGAAGTACTGCATTCATGTCATAACAGCAGCATCCCAATCCACAGCCCACCAGTCCTAACCTTTACTTTGTACAGCTCCTCTAGTTGTGTCTATCAGACTTCTGGGCTCCTTAAAGATGGTTGTACTATCCGCTAGGCAATTTGTTCAGCAGGCTGTAATGTATAATCTTTTTTAATTAACAATAAAAAATGGATACAATCATTAATAGAAGCATAATTAAGCACTAGCAAAAATGAAGAAGGTTAATTTTCTTAATTGATGTTTAAGAAATTGAATCCTTAGAGGCAACATTTTATGTTCTTTGAAGCAAATTCAGAGCCTTAATCCTGAACCAATGTCAATTGAAGATCTGTGAGAAAGGGCACATTACATGAACTGAGAACTTGAGCAATTTTGTGGGATTTGCTCTCCTTGTGCAGTTTGTAAAAAATTACTCATACAGACTACACCATTAATATTTATTGACATGCTTTGAAAAGTTCAAATGTGAATATCTAGTTATTTTTACTGTTATACAGTTCACTCCAAAAGTATTGGGACATCAAGATGAACACTCACTTACAGTTAAGCAGTTTGTATTTGTGAGATTAATGTGAATTATAAGTACTATGTAACATGGATATTATTTTGGGGGTAATTTCATGTATGTCTTTGATCATATTAAAACAAAAACATACTTTGTATTCAAACAACCACAAGTATTGGGACATGCTCGCTTTTTAAAATAATTTTTTAAATGCAAATGTCTTTTAGGTTGTATATCCCTTTTAGGCAATAATAGCATGGCATCTGTGACTCATTAAGCTCCCCAAACTGTGCATACATTTGAAATGCTTTTCCAATCTTCTGTTGCAGCTAATTTAAAGTCCTTGCTTGCAGTATTTTTAGAGTGCCCTAACTTTATTTTTTTAACAAGTAGAATGTATGCTCATTTGAATAGAAATCTCTATAATTTTCAACTTTTTTCTCCAAATAAACTCTGTTGCAATGGCCATACACTTCGGTTATGTCCATGCTGCATGGTAAAACAGTTTAAGAACAGAAGCGTCATCTTCTACACAAGCCGAAAAAATGTTTTTGGAAACTTCAGAATCTATTCTGCTGCTGTCATCAGTTACATCATCAATAAAATAAGACTTCCAGTTCCAGAGGCAGCCATGCATGCTCAGTCCATGATATTGTCTTCACCATGCTTGAACAGATGCTAACTTACTGTAATTGCATTGCAATGACAATATTTTTAGAGTATCTGGGCTTATAGCCTTTTGAAATTCAAATCATTTTTTTTATTCTCTGTAACATTAACTGTAGAAGCTACAGTGCTGTGAAAAAGTAAGTACACCCTGTGAAAAAGTGTGTGTTTTTCAACATATTTGCATGTATGGATATTTGATCTTCATTTCAACAGTATTGATAGATAAAGGGGATCTAATTTAACAAATAACAATTCAAATTATTATTGGCAATAATTTAATTAAACAAAAAAAAGTCAGAAATGCAATTGTCTGCTGTGGAAAAAATAAGTACACCCCCTAGCTTTAATAGCTGGTGTTGTCCCCTTTGGCAGAAATCACTTCTTGTAGACATTTCTTGTAATTGTCTATCAGTCTCCTACATCGACTTGGAGACATTTTTGCCCACTCCTCCTTACAGAACTCCTTCAATTGTGTGATGTATGAGGGATTTCTTGCATGTACTGCCCGCTTCGAGTCCCCTCACAGCATTTCTATAGGGTGAAGATCTGGGCTTTGACTTGGCCATTCCATAACCCTCCATTTCCCTTTCTTCTTTTTGAGCCATTCTTTTGTGGATTTGCTTGAGTGTTTAGGTCATTGTCGGGCAAGGTCCACTTATGGTTCAGCTTCATCTTTTTGACAGATGACCTCACATTCTCCCCAAGTACTCTCTGGTACAATGTGGAATTCAAGGTTTACTCTATGATGGCACACTGCCCCGGCCCTGAGGCAGAAAAGCAGCCCCAAACCATAATGCTTCCACCACCATGCTTTACAGTTGGTATGAGGTTCTTTTGGTCAAAGGCCGTTTTTGGTTTTCACCAAACATGACGTCTGGCATTGTGGCCATACAACTCTACCTTGTCTCATCCATCCAAAGCATATTGTTCCAATAGTCCTGATCTTCACCTTAGTTTTGTCTGGCAAACTTCGGTAGTGCATCTATATTCTTTTTTGAGAGCAAAGGCTTCTTCCTTCCTGACCTCGCATGTAGGGCTAAGTTGTACAGTCTCTTTCGGATGGTTGACTCATGCACTTTGACATTGACTGAGGCAAGACTTGCCTCTAACCCCCCTGGATGTTATCCTGGAGTTCTTGGAGACTTCCTGCAGCATCCTTCAGTCAGCTCTTGGATAGATTGCGAGTGGTTTGAAATTTTCTCCATTTGTAGATGATCTATTGGACAGTGGAATGATTGACTAGAAATTGCTTGGAAATTACCTTAAAACCCTTCCCAGACTCATAGGCATCAACAATCTTTCTTCTGAGGGCCTTAGAGAGCTCTTTGGATCTTGGCATGATGTAGCCACACATCTAAACCAAATCAAACCAGACCACAGGTTTCTGATTTCTGATTTTTATATAAGACAGTGCCCTCCAAGCTACTCTCTAATGATGTTCTAATCATTTGCACCTGTCCTGGTGCACCTGATTCTAATTTTAGGCAT